CCCCAATGTCAGAGTAATCAAAGTGTGGTTTTACTAAAGCTTGGTAAATGAGATGTAAGGTTGATGCTGGGATCAGGTGCTTAATTCACTTTAGGGCCCCGATAGGTGATCCTTTTGAGATGACTAACAATGCTGTCCTCTTCGATACGGTTCGAGAATTTCAATGGAATTTCTCTGAGTACATTCTAGTTTCTATTCTATGTACATTTACCACGATTCTGCTTTGCAGATCTGTAATCTGATTGTCCAGCAAAATTTTAATGAAAGCAGAAAGGTAATTGTCGATTGAATGCCTTTCTGTCCACCACCTGACCTTATTTGTGGGTGTCTGCGATTCAACTGATCTGCGCTACACAAAGAACGGATATTTTAAGAGCTTTTAAGAAGAAACCGTTTTAACTGTTACGAAAAACTAGTAAGTTAGTTCAGTATGATTTAGTCATTCGTTTATATTAGGCATGTAGTTACTATTAACATGAAATGAAATTCCGAAGTTATTTAGGTTGAACTATCACGATGAGTTTTCAAATCAGTGAGTCTTGTCTACCTCGCATCAGTGCATGTGCTTATTTGTCTACTGACCTTGCTTTGGACCCACACGAAAGTTCTTGTTTTGGCTTACGTTGTCATGAATTGATTCAGTTGATCGGAAGTACAAGTATATTGTTGTTCATTTTGTGAGATTCCTGGAAAAGTGTTTGGGTTAGCGATCCAACAAAAATGTTTAGTCTGTCGCCTATTATGCACACTCGTGCCTACCGACAGAGAATATGTTTAAGCATCATGTACCGTAGAGTTTAAATAGAAATCAGTGAGAAGTTGTAAAGCGGGAGTCACTCGGTGAGAAACAGAGTGTAAGAATCAGAAAAAGATTAATCAGAGATAGAGTCAAAATGAAGTGAAATTAATGTAAGTAGAATTGTATATTTTAGAACCAAGTGATCAAAGAAGACCGAGAATAGACAGGTCGCGAGTCCTTGGTGCCTTTAGTAAAACAGTATTGCGATCTGTAGCTAGTTTCCCCGTCAGTGCTACCCAATATAGGAATAAATCCCGCAGCGGACAAACACCAAAGAGACACTAATAAACCAAAAAGAAACAACGAGGGTTTTGGAAGGTGAAGACTGACAGGAATAGAAAACGAAGAGCTGAAGAGTTCACGCTAGAGTTTACACGAGACTAGCTGCCAAGAGTCTCTCAGCTTTTCAAGGATCAAAGTTTTTAACATAACTCTAATGGTGGCGGACACTCTGGTATCTTTCCAAGAACAAAACTGTCCGCCCTGAAGGCTTGCATATCTTCTTCACTACAAGTTAAAGATAAAGTTCTTGACTGTTCTGTTGATGACATGGCTTTTGGAGTAGATCTCTCTAGAGACAAAGAAAATCAAAACAAGTTCAGGCTCGTTATAAGTTTTGTTTTCACAGCTCTACGTCCTCTTTTCCCGAAATTTCATTTCGTTACAAAACTCGCCAATTACATTCATTAACTTTCGATTCACGACATGATTATACAAATTATACTGAAAGTTATTTATCTATAGCTATCAACCAGTAATGTCTAGTACGTACAACAGTGAACATGGAAGAAAATCTCTGGTCTTTTCGTAAGGATGCTGCCACCAAAGCAACGTTAAAATACATGCAGAACACAAGCTTGGCTTTCGCGTTTAAGCCCCCTGGGTGTTGATGACTAATAACCAAAGAGATCACAAACTGATACGATCTGATACTTTCTCATGTTCACTCGAGAGTTTCAAATGAGTTTCTGGTTTCAGACTCTGGTCAAATTTGACGAAATAAAGCGATTTAGGGTCTAAAAACAACGATCGGATCAAATCTTAAATTAACGTAAAATGACGATTTCATTGAAAGCATCTTCAATGCCACAAGAATGACAGTGCCTACAGCAACTCGGCTTACCTATCACCACCCTCCACGGGATAAAAATTGTCAAGCTACATACCAGTTTTTAAAATGAAAGTAAGAGCTGCCCTCCTTTTCGCTGCTAAGAAAAAAAGATGAAGATATACCTACCATTGAGCTGCCCGATGTATGGTTTGAAGGGTTTGTGCCAATGTCTTTCTGTGCTTGGGATTCACTTGGAAAAGCCGCAGTCACTGCCGGGGAAGGTACAGAACCAAAAACTCCAGGTTTTGATTCAGTTTCTTTACCAAAGAAGCCAGAATTTGAAGCAGCTGATTGGCTAAAGTTTGTACCAGACATGGTCGTGGATTGGCTAGTTAAGGGACGACTGGTCATTCCAATTTGCTGATTACTGGCACTTAAAGTATTCCCAAAAACATTTCCAGTCATTCCTGACACATTGCTCTGTCCA